GGGCTGGCGTCCCATCCGGGGTGTGCCCGGCTTTGTGCCCTGCGATGGGCTGGCGTCCTGTCCGGGGTGTGCCCGGCTTTGTGCCCTGCGATGGGCTGGCGTCCTGTCCGGGGTGTGCCCTGTGGTGTGCCCCGGCCTCGGGAGGCAGCCTGCCTGGGCCTACCTCCAGCCCCGTGACCCAGACCCCGATGAGGCCCTTGGTGCGTGGTGGATGGGAGTGGATGTTCACTGCTTGGTTACAGTCTGCATTTCTCTCACTCTCTCCCCAGGAAATGTGGTGACTCACCTGGGCCACTCCTTCTTCACCCAGAGCTTCCTGGGCAGCCGGGAACATGGCGGTTTCCTCTACATCAGCCCCACCTTCCAGTCCCTGCAGGACCTGCTGCTGCCCAACCCACCCTACCTCTTTGGCATCCTCATCCAGAAATGGGAGACACCCTGGGCCAAGGTCTTCCCCATCCGGCTCATGCTGCGTCTGGGCGCTGAATACAGATGTGAGTCGGCTAGGGGGGAGGGTGTGGGGGGCGGCGGTTAGGGCGTGGAGGGCCCTGAGCTTTCAGCCGCCACCGTCCCGATCTTCTGCCTGGCCCTTGATTGTTTGACACGTATAGGCTGCCCAATCCCACGTCTTATTCAGGTCGAGCTGGCGCCTGTTTCCTCGAGCAAAATGAGCTTGTGCTGTAATAAACCGTCTGCCTCCTTGTGACCTAGTTTGCCGAAATTGCATTGCATTTAAAGTCATTACAGGAGGCTCTTTGAAAGGACAAGCAGGGACTTGGGTCAGGCCTGGAATTTTTGGCCTTTCTGTTTTGTGTTAAGCGGTTAAATATGTGGGTCTGCTGATACGAGAGCATGGCTTGGCCTGCAGGTTGTCCTAGTTGGAGAACCAGTGTATCGGTCAAGCTTCTGAATCCCACACGAGTCAGGGAGATGTTCACCTGTCCAGATTGGGTCCATTGTCAGTGCATTTAAGCGGATCACAGAAGTAATCAGCAGTACCCACTGCTGGCTTTGTTTGCATAGTAGTTGTGTTACAGCGGTTCTGCTTCAGGTTGGGAGGTTCTGCTCATTCTTCTTATCTTGGGTCTGTTTGCTTTTTTAGCCTCTTATCCCAGCTAACTGTAGGCGGGTGGTTACTCTGTAGATCATGGCTGGGATTAACCCTCTGGAGTCGGCGGGATCTGACAGAAATTTTGCCAAACGGTTTAAATAACTCTTCGAGTTTTTGTC